GTAAATAATTACATACTTTTTCTTAAAAACAATTATTTTTTTTTACTAATTGATTTGTCTCATTATTCTGTACATAAAAGTATTACGGTGAGATTATCGAAAACTAAATATTTTACGAGATATTTTATTTTTTATATCAAAATATGTCAGATTAAAATATAAAATAACTCAAAAAGTACTTAATGAAAAAATACTTTATTATAGTGTTTTGGAAAGCTCTCGGGATAAGTTATAAGAATATGCAATAAAAAATAGGGGATTCCATTTAAGAAATTAAAGGTGTCCTTGACTTGACCTTAACGATGCCATCCAAGGTCAAACCAATGACACCATCTTATGTTCCCCTCAAAACCATACAATTTTTGTTCAAAACGTTTTTTTCTAAAATGCTTAGTTTTTGAAAGAAAAAGGGTGTACGGGTGGTCTAGGATACCCTGTATATAAATAAAATAAATGCATATATATTGCAGCGAGGAACAGTTAACTAGCATTGCAGAGCGGACTATAGTTGAAGCTGATGAAAATGGAGATGGTATGATATCATTTGAAGAATTCTGCAAAGTATTAGAACGTACAGATGTTGAGCAAAAGATGTCCATAAGATTTCTAAGTTGAATTGATTGTTGCTCTATATATGAAATACAATATAAAATTTATACATATTGAAATAAGTGTTGAGAAATTATGTTATGACTTTTTTTCACAATTACAAAAAATTCTGCTATAAATATATATTTATACCTATTATGTGTAAATAATATGTAAATAATTCTTATATATTATACTGTTGCCATTATCAAGAAGATATGGAGTGTCCATATAAGTGGAAACAATTTTCCATACTTGCTTAAATATGGCATTGTTTTTATTCATGATAGTAGTCAATGGAATGTATAAGTAAAACAAAAAAGAAAGAAAGTGTACAGTTAGACAAAATTCAATTTCTATTTTACATTTTACTAATAAGATGGATAGTTTTATGAAATAAACAAGACTTTTAAAAAAAATTGGTTATAAAGATTTGTGTAAATTGTAGCTTAATATTGTCAAATGATTATAAGAAATACATTATCTTTGAATTTATTGCATACAATGTTTTCCGATATTTTCCAATATAATTTTAACATTAACATATAGCATAATATTAAATATTACATATATAAATTGAGAGTAAACAAATAGTAATATATATGAATATAAAAATTTTGAAAATACATGTGAATAAGAAAGTTAATCTATTAAAAATTACTATCTATTTCTTTTAATAGATAAGTACATTTCGATAAGCCAAATTTTCTTTTTACAAATATTGTAAAAGTATGCTGTAAAGAGTGAGAAAATATATAAATAAAAATTTTAAATGCTCCAAAAATTTTGGTTATCTCGTGCAAACCTGTCTTAAAAATATTTTTAACAATTATAACAAAAGTTTATATTAGAGACAAAAATATAAAAAATTTTGTTTCCAAAAAAAATCCTTGAAATTATTATCGTACAATTCTTCATACTGAAAATGAATAATGATATAAAAATGTTGACAAGCCTCAAGTGGAAAACCTATATTAAAAATGCTACTTTGTATTTCATATACAAAAAATGATTATATGCATTTTTTGTATGTTTCATTCCAAAAATATAAGCAGTATATAAATATTTTTTATTTTATATTTCAAATAATTACTTTTTTATGTATTTTGCATTTTAAATGTGTTTGATAACACATCTTGTCTAAGAAAACTCACATATACGCTTTCTCTCTCTTAATATATTTTAATTTTAATTCTTTTATACATATCTCAGATTTTTGCAATAGACTTTTTTATTCTTTCTAATGGAAGAGGTTTGTTACAGAAATATAAGTGTAACACATAACTAATATATTAAAGAATATAATAAAATTTTATTTTATAATTATAATAATAAAATGCGCATTTAGATATGTTGATTCTATATTCGCTACAGTGATAAATATAAAATTAATCTTGTAACATTACTAAAAAGATTCTACAAATAATAAGAATATTACTGTAATATAAAAAATTTTAATATTTATAATTAAATATATATATAAACGTTTCCTTCTCTTATAGGGCAGTCAAAAATATTGGCAGAAAGATCATAACATCATCAATCTTTGCAAAAAAATTTGCAGATTATACAATCCATTATACAAAGATACGACATTGTTTGTGTAAAATTTGTCTTTCTTTCCCACTTTAACATGTTATAATGTCGAAATTTTTATATTATATGCAAAGAGAATGGTTTCTTTTCCAGATATTATAACAAAAATATTAATTTAAAAAATATATATATATGACAACATGTTTATGTTACAACTGAAAATAATTCATATCTTGATTATATCATATGTAAGCAACAAAACTTGCAACAAATGTTTATAAGTATACTTTATCCAGCCGAAAATACAGCTAGGTCAATTTTTGCAGAATGTTAATTATATATATATATGAATTTAAATTTCCATATAGCTCTAGGAGCAAGTTTTTTTACATACTTTTTATAGCATTTGATAATTGCCCCTATTTTATTTAAATATATTTTTTTATTTAAATATATCTCACTAAATATATCTTTGCACTTCTTTCGCAGTGAAATGTCATAAAACTTGAATTGTATTGGATACCAATTATATAATGCATAAATCTTATTTGTGGGATAGATATTTTTTCAAACAGAAATTGTAAAAAAATAATGAAAAATAATTCTATTACAAAATGATAGAATATTAATGCCATTATATTAACACGTTGGATTGAACATATGAATTATGTTTTACATATTGTGGTTTCAATAATTTATGCATTTTATTGAATTGTAAAAGATAATTCTTTAAAAATAATATAAATTAAAAGCTATTTTTGTATATACTGTGTTGTATATTAATCTCTTCCACTTTAAGATTATGTGTGTTCTTTTTTCTTTTTTAATCTCTTTTGTTTTTTTATTCATCTTTTCTATTTCAAAATAATGTAAGAGTGGAGGACGATTTCTATTATACGAATATAATTCATCTCTGTTATGTAAATGCTATTTCATATGTAATGGCACGAGTAAAATACATATAAGAAGCTAATAACTGCTAATCCCCGCTCGATATATCAGCTATTTTCTTTTTTTATATTATACACTAGATATTACAAGTGCCTTAACAGTCACTGGACAGGCACTTTTTGATCCAACGTATCATTTGTCTATTTAAGACAATATTGTCCTTTTTGTGTAAATTTTGAAGCTAATACATGACATAACATTTTTAAACAGTTTTAAATAACTTTAAAAGTTATCGTTTTTATAATTTATTCAAAACAAAATAACATTTTTATTCATCATTTAGTCTCATATTTCAGACATTCAAATGCTAATTTTTACTTATTTGGTTTGATTTCTGTCTGTTTCTTTATCATAGATAATCATGATTATGACTATCTAAATATATGATGCGTTCTTTTCTGTAAAGAAGTATCTAGTTAAATGTTAAGGCATTTATAATGCCCTGTGTACACATATGTATAATCCAAACGTCTTTGAGAAAAAATTGTCACGCGCGTAAAATATATTTAATATAACAATATCACAATCTATTTTATCAATTTTCGCGTACCTAGCTGCACATACATACATACGAAATATGCGTCCCGTAATTCAGGCAGTATAAAATCGGAAACAAGTTGCGTGCACAAAACGCATATACTTTCGTCTTCTTCTTCAGCATAAGTACTTGTCTTAAGTAATTATGACAAATCGTTGCACAAATACTTTACGTACCTCGATTATTTATAAGTCTTAATGTTTGAATAACGCTTCGTTCTCGGGATTGTCATCCCTATGCTTTTCGAGATTTCCGGATAGAGTCGGATCCGGTCGCCGTCTCTTGAAGAAGCCGAGTTTTCTCAATATTAATGTAAGTAAAATGAACAGTAACATACCTGCTACTGCGGCCACTATATATATCCACACCGGTACAGGTTCAGCTTCTTGCTGATCCAGCAGATCTGGATAAGCAATCGTCTCAGCCTATGTGACGATATCAAATGACATTAATTAAACATGATTTTTATCATATATAACACTTTTATATGTATATATGTGGATGTTTCAGAGTAAAATGCAATCGCGAAATTTCTTTATCATTTAATTTTTACTATACAAAACAATTGTAATGTATCAAAATGTAATATTCCATATATAGTCAAATACTTACAATTGCATGGTCATCCTTCAAGTTCTCTTGCTGTATCACAACATTCGAAGGTATTACTATCCTAGCGTTGGAGCCTATTTTAACCATGTCTACTTTCGGGTAATCCTCAACCAAAGTAGAATTCCAAAGTCTGAAATCAATCATTTCTTTTAAAAAAGCATATATAAGGTATTTCTAACTTTAAAATTGATATAACTAAATTATTTTAATTTCAAACAAATTAAAAGATTAGTCATTAATATTAAGCTTTTATATTCTCCACATAATTTAAAATATTACAATTATTAACAAAAATATGTATCATATAATTAAAATAATTACATAACATATTAACATAATTAATAATTAATTTTTTACGTTTTTATTATATTACCTTGCTTTAACAGTTATAATGGCTTCCTGTTTCCTCTGTAAATTGTATATGTAGCATATAATGTCAAAACACTTGGCTGTACCAGCTTTACAATTCTGTAATGCAAAATCCTCCATTATAAAATACTCTACTAAAATGTTTTATACAAGAGTGACAAAGATTACTTAAAAATATAAAAATGAATGATATGGAAAGATATTGTCCGTTTATCCATTTTTTCGAAAATAGATTCTCATGAAAAAATTTTACTGCTGATTTATTTTTGCCCATAAAATAATTATCTTTATACCACCAATAACATAATCACCTTATACAAATATTCGTTACAAATTCCGTTTCTAAGATTTTCTTTCCGCAAGATTTGGCTGCAATCCGCGAGCTCAATTAAATACGAATGATGGAGCTCTTACCATTGAAACCACACGATGGCGATGTCCGTCTTTGTCGATAATCGTTCGCGTATTGACAACTTTCTCCGTGTCTCGTGTTGTTCTTATATGATTAGTGTGATTGTATAAGATTGTCGGTCGAGTTGAAGATTGCATAATGTTATCGGTATCATCAAAGTTGACACTATCTTGCAATTTTAAGGGATTGACCACATGACCTGGTGGCAGTGTACATTCACCATCTGCTAAAGCTAAATTATTTAACATACATTAGCTATATATTATAAGAGATTGACCGAATGTCAGCTGGAAAGCGAGTTTTATAATACCTTGAACAGTTGGCATCTCTTCCATGTATAACAGCCATTTGCCATGCGCTTTGTCGTTCGCGACTTCATAAGGCCAGGAAATGCGCACCTCCACAGTGCTAACTTTCCATGGACCTTCATTAAATACTTCGTAAATGTGCGATACTTTTGGTCCTATTTCATTCAAGTATTTTATTGCGGATTCACCAACTACTGGACCACCGTAAAATGCCCACTGAGTTTTTGCACTCCTACAAATAAATGTAAATTAACATTAGTATATATA